TAGGCATTGTATTCCTGTGAGGGTAGTGTGTGTGAATCAGTAACTATGAAGCCAACGGTGCAGTGGAGACCCCAGAAGTTTAAAGAAGCCAGGAGCATGGATAATCTGAGAAAAGCTGCAAAGAAGGAGCAGAGCTGGTTGAAGAAGGAAGCCATGGGAGCTACAACCACCTGAAGTGACACAGGGGTGGAGCTACCAAAGCCTTTGGAAGTTTACAACATGCCACAGATTGCTGGGGATGTTGAAAGTGGAACTATGGAACTGAATGTTTATCCTACTGGATTTTGGACTTACTTTGGTCCCATTCCTTTGTATCCTCCCGTTTGTACCTTTTGGAATGGTAATGTCTACTTTGTGCCACTGAATGCTGAAAGTGTTCGACTTTTCATTTGTAGGGGCATGCACATATGAGTTTACCTTAAATCTCAGAGGAGACTCTGGACTTGGACTTTTCAGCAATGCTGAAACTATTAGGACTTTGGCAACTCTTAGAGGTGGACTAAATGCCTTTTGTGCAAAGGAATACACACACACACACACACACACACACACACACACGAGTCTTTGCGGGGCTAGGGGCAGAATGTTATGGTTTGGGTCTAGATGTCCCCCCAAAGCCGCATGCAATCATAGGCTTGATCTAGAGTGTGAAGCTGGAATTGATTCATGATGTAATGCTAGGCTCAAAGGCACTAGGATTAAAGGTGTGGGTGCTACCCACCCTAAGGAACCTGAGTAAGATTAGAGAGGCAGAAAGATGCTGGTAATTCCCTTTGTGACCTTGTGTGTGCCATGTTATTTCTCCTCTGTGATGCTTGTTTGCCATCCCAGCCTCAGAGCCAACTGATCATGGACTGAAAACTCTACCATCTATATTCTTCAAAAAAACAAAAAAAAAACACCTCTGTGACAATGTGAAAGCAGTTCTAGGAGGAAAATTTATATCAATCAATGCTCACATTAGGAAAACAGAGAAATCTCAAACAAACAACCTTACAAAATACTTAAGAAACAACAACATAACAGCCCCAAACCAAAATAGAAAATTATACCAATAAGAGCAGAAATAAATGAAATTGAAACTAAAAAGTTTTTTTTAATCAAAGAATTGAAAAGCTGTTTTAAAGAATAAAATAGAAAAGGCCCTGGCCAGACTTACCAAGAGAAAGCAAGAAATGAATCACATCAATGCAATCAGAAATGAAACAGGTGAAATCACAACATACGCTGTGGAAATCCTAAGAATAACTGCTTCAAAAAATTACATTCCAAAAAAATAAGTAACTAAATAAAATTCAACAAATTAGCAAACTTTGAAGAAATGAACAGATTCCTAGACACATACAAATTACCAAATCTAATACAAGATATAAACGTGCTTAACAATCCAATAAACAAGCAATTCAATAGACACAATAATAAAGAATCTACTCCATTCCTGGTACCAAAAAAAAAGAATCTACTAAGTAAAGGCCAAGACCTGATGTAGTCACTGCTGAATTTGACAAAACCTCTAAGTATGTTATATCACCAGTACTGCACCAGCTTTTCAAAAAAACTGAAAAGGATAGAGTCCTCACAAACTCATTTATGGAAGCCAATATTACCCTAAATACCAAAATCAGACCAACTGAAAAAAAATTTATAAGCTAATCTCCTTAATGAATAGATGCAAAAATCTTCAACAAGATCTTAGTAAAACAGAATGTAGCACATAATCAAAAAGATCATACATCACGACTAAGTAGATTTCACCCCAGATACAAGAATATTTCAACATATGTAAGGAAGGCCAAAAACCACATTATCATATCAATAGATGCAAAAAAGGCTTTTGAACACCCTTTCATGATAAAAACCCTGAAGGAAGCAGGTATAGAAGGACTATATCTGAATATGATAAAAGCTGTATATTAGAAACAAATACCCAGCATCTTACTAAATAGGGAAATCTAAACGTATTCCCCCTAAAATCAAGAAGAGGTCAAAGATGTCCACTATCAGCTCTTCTACTCAACAATGTACATGAAACATTAGCCAGAGCAATTAGGCAAGACACTGAAGTAGAAAGGATACCTATAAAGGAAGGTCTCAAATTATCATTATTTGAAGATGACATGATTCTCTACATAAACCTAAAGAACTCTACCAAAAAACTCTTAGAATAAAATATTTTAGAAATGTAGCAGAAGAAGATTAAAACACAAAAATCATTACACCAATAATGAATGGGATAAAAAGGAAATCATGAAAATAATACCATTCACAGTAGCTTCAAGAAAAATGAAATACTGAACCAATGAAAACTTAACCAAGGAAGTGAATAATCTCTACAAAGAAAATTATAGTACTCTGAAAAAGGAGATTGAACAGGAAATGAGAAAACAGAAAGATGTCTCCTGCTCCTGGACAGGGAGAATAAATATTGTCAAAATGGCCACACTCCCAAAAGTGTTATGTTTACAGATCTAGAAAAAACAATCCCGCCGGGGATTTAGCTCAGTGGTCCTGCAGCCTGTACTGCAAGTGGAAGGTTCCGAGTTAGATCCCCAGTACCAAAAAAAAGAAAGAAAGAAAACAAATAGAAAAATCAATCCTAAAATTCATGTGGAACCAGAAGAAACCCAGAATAGCAAAAGCAATTTTGGGCAATAAGAGCAAAGCAGGAGGCATAGCAATACCTGCCTTCAAGCTATACTACAAAGCAACAGTGATAAGAATAGCACCATACTGAAACAAAAACAGGTATGTGGATCAATGGAACAGAACTGAGGATACAGAAACTTCCCCAGGCACATTCAGCTACTTGATCTTTGACAAAGGGGCCAAAAGCATATGTTGGAGGAAACAGCCTATTCGACAAGTGGTGCTGGGAAAACTGGCTATCTGTGTGCAGAAGATTTAAAAAAGTCCCTTACTGTTCACCATATATAAAACTAAAATTAAAATGTAAATGGGCCTAAGATCTAAAAGTTAAAACAGAAGCGTTAAACCTTCTGGAAGATCAAATAAATAAAACACTTAAAAGACACAGATGTAAGAAAGAACTTTCTAAACAGAACCTCAATTGTGCAAGAATTAACAAATGGGATTATACCAGACTAAAAACTGTCTGTACATCAAAAGAATCAATCAGTAGAGTGAAGCGACAATTTGCAGAATGGGAAAAATTTTTTGTTAGCTACTCTTCAGACAGAGGACTAATATCTAGAATATATAAAGAACTAAAAAAAGTATACCACCTAAACGTAAAGATCCAGTCAAGAAATGGGCAAGAGAAATGAACAGACACTTCAGAGGAAGAAATACAAATGGTCAACAAATACACGAAAAAATGTTCAACATCTTGGGCAATTAAGAAAATGTGAATTAAAACAATGCTAAGATTCCATCTTACTCTATAAAGAATGGCAATCATTAAGAAATCAAACAGTAACAAATGCCAGTGAGGCTGTGGTGAAAAAGGAATGTTGGTGGGAATGTAAACTACAACACAATGGAATACTACTCTGCTATAAAGGATGACAAATTTTAGACATCTACAGGGAAATGGATGTACCTGGAAAATATAATATTGAGTGAAATAAACCAGACACACAAGCTTAAACACTGTATGGTCTTCTCACGTGAGTGAGGCAAAGTACAAAGAGAATAATAAATATGGACAGAAGGGGACAAGAAGATGGATCTCTTGCAATGGGGAAATGGTCCAAGGGAAAGAGCACAAAGAGTGAGGAGGAAGAAAAGGGGAAATAAGTAGAATAAAGATATGCTATGTACAGGAACCTAATAGCCTCAATCAATGTAAACATTATATGCCACAGCATGAGCTAAGATTAACAATATCAACAAGAATGAAAAATGAAATAGGGGAGTTGGAGAAGGAGGGAGAAAGAGGGGGAAGGGGGTAATAAAAAACAAACAAGCTGTGGTATGTACATGTAACCACACCACAAGATGACTGTAAACTGCATGAACTACAAACATATACTAATAAAATTAAAAATTAAAAAAAATAAAACTATTCGAAAAAATCATTCCATTACAATCCATAAGCATTGTTATGTGTCATGTAGTTACCTGAAGTATTTTGTGGCTTTAAATAAAACAGAAACCAAACTAGTCATTTTACAAATAGGAATACATTTAGTATCGAGATGTAGAAGATCAGAAAAAGTACAATATATTATGTTTCTATCAACGAACTTATAAGATACTTACACATTAAAACTACATTTATTTCTTTTTGTGTACTGAGCATTGAATCCAGGGCCTTTACACTGAGCTATATCCCTGGTTCTTTTTTAAATTTCTTCTTTTTGTTTAATTCTGAGAGGTCTCACTAAGTCACTCAATTGCCCGGGCTGGGGTCAAACTTGTGATACTCCTACCTCAGCCTCCCAGAGTTCTGGGATTACAGGTATATGTCACCACACCTGGTTCAAAAATTTTAATAGTCCAAGAGACACTGAACAAAGCAGGGCCTCTCTGGATTAGGAATATAGACTTTGGGGTGGATAGATAGCTATTTAATGTCTGTATGACAGCGAAAAAGAATTTTAATTTTCTAAGTGTTAACCTCAAGATAGTACCTATTAAGAGTTATTTGTGGGATGTGCGATTATGTACAACATAGTAATATAGCATGAAATGATGAGCAGGGTTAATACATCATAAATATTTAATAATACTTATAAATAAAAACCTAATAAGTGGCTCAAATGAAGAATTTCAAAGCACAATAGATTACTGCAACTGAAAGAGTTCAGAGGAGTTGAAAAGTGAAATGAATTTTGGAAGATAACAGATGAAGGAACCATCCCAGGCCAAGGGATCCTCACAACTAAGGGATCGACACAGTGAGAGTATCTTTTTAGTTTAGTGGAGGGTTTAAGTAATAAAGTGCAAGTTCAACTCTGAGGGGCCTTCAGACTCATGATAGGAAATGGTGAGGTATATTACTACTTTCTGCATTTATTAAATAAAGATGTACTACTTACCCGACAACCATCTAATAAATCTTCAGGTGCTTGAAATGCACTGATGTCCAGATATTCCAGGTTTTCAAGTGTAGGTTCTAATTTGCTATTAACAATTGAACTGCATATGGATTCATTTATACAACTTCCATTTATGTTGGAAATGTGGCTGACATCTGAAAGAGTTCGGCCTATATATTTTTTAAAAAGTATAAATTTATGAACATTAAATAGTCATTATATTTTGTCTTCCAAATTAATTTTTACCATAACCCAAGGTCTAGAAACAATTTTCAAAGAGTCAGAGATTGTATTTTTTTAAGACAGGGTCTTGCTATGTAGTTCAGGTTGGTCTTGAACTCACTATGTAGCCCAGGCTGGCCTTGAACTCAAAGCAATCTTCCTATCTCGGCCATCTGAGTGCTGGTATTACAGGCATATACCACCACACCTTGCATATTGAAAGGTTTTTAACAGAAAAGTTGGTGGCAAAACATGAAAAGGAAATATAAAATTGTTTCTCATTTGTTTCTCATAATATGAAATTGCCGGCCTTAAAGTCCAAGAAACTTATATTTGAAAAAAATTTTACATGTGCTACGTACATGCACCAACTGCCCACAAGGTAGTCATTAATGTACTATAAACATGTATGAATAAAAAATAAAAATTGAAGAAATAAATTTGTAATATTTTGCCAGTGTGGGACTTAAACTGCAACACTTTTAATTGTTATACAAGTATCTCTATCTATAATAATCCTGATGAATTCGTAAAATGTATTAATATTTATACCAGGAAAGCTCTGAAAAATTATCTTAAGTCTTCATCCATTAGTATTTTTAATGTCTTTGATCATCTCTTGCATTATATCAGGGTACTGGAAGAAAGCAATTATTCACTCTAAGAAGAAATGTCAGAAGCAGTTCTGGACTAAATTTTACTACAACTATATAATTTAGCTATTTTATTATACAATTAAGCCTAGAAGCATAGGGAAAAAATTAGAAATTCTCTATTATATCTCAGTGATCCTATTAACAAATCAACATTTTTTTTTTTTTTTTTTTCATTACAACATTTTTTTTTTTTTTTGCCATGCTTAGGATCAAATTTATTATCTTAAAATGGTAAATAAGTGTTGTACCACTTTGTAACAGGCTCACTTTAACAAATGAATTCTATAGAAAATCTATTATTTTAGGGCCGGGAATTTAGCTCAGCGGTTCAGTGGCCTGCCTTGCAAGCGCAAGGACCTGAGTTCAATCCCTGGTACCAAAAAAAAAAAAGAAAACAAAAGAAAATCTATTATGTTAATCTCAATGAGACTTACTATCAGTTGTGCTGATCTGACCAGTGGGAGTTGAAGTATCAGGCAGAGTCTTTGCTTCTGGTCTAGGCTGTGCCTTGTATATAGACTCATCTTGACAAAAGCCTTTCTCAATACTATCAAAAAACCACTGTGTGGTCACACAGTGTACATTCCATCTCTTGGCACATTCATATTTCTGACCTATTTATGTTAAGAAATAAATAGAGAAATTAAGAAATATTCAAAGTGTAATAGTTTATTTTTTAAAAACTACCTGAAACAAAATTGAACGTTACCAGCAATTAGTCTTATTTTTACATGCTATGCTACAGAGTATGCTAAAAAGCAAAAATTTAGGTCATTATCTAATCATATTTTTGTACTCTATAAATACATACTCCGGAGATGCAGGGCTTATCTTCTTGCAACAGACACAGGCAACTGTTGGGTAACTAATAATACTGAACTTGTCTGGATAAAGGGTCCATCACTTAATTTCTTTAGACCAGTTTCTTAATCTATAAAAAGGAGCTAACTTGAAACTATGATTTTTTTTTTCAGTCTTGGCAGTACCAGGGAGCAAACTCAAGACCTTGCACTTGTGAGTCAGGCACTGGGCCACTGAGCTAAATCTCCAGCCCTATGACATGGTTTTATTTATTTTTTTTTTTGAGGGCGGGGTTTCAGACAGGGTCTCACTATGTAGTTGAGACTGACCTGGAACTCACTATGTAGCCCAGGCTGGTCTCAAACTCACAGCAATCCTCCTGCCTCAGCCTCCCAAGTGCTGGGATTACAGGTGTGCGCCACCACACCTGGCTTGACATGGTTTTAGTAAGCATGTAAGGCATGTATAAGACAAATGTGAAAACCAAATGTATGTAATATAATAAATGCCAAAAGGATTTATTCCAATTTCAAAGGTTTCTAAAATCAAGAATAGGCAAATAGATAGTTGTTGCTTGTATTATCTCAAAAACTCTCTCTATTGGAAACATGGTTTTGCTAAATTGTCCAGAGTGGGTCTGAACTTTTGATCATCTGCCTAGCCTCCAGAATTACAGGCATCTCTACCAACACAACTAGCTTTTTTGGGCATTCTTGGGTCGATGGATGAACTGCTTTCAGATTCAGAAAACCACAGCAGTGTCAATTCTACTCATAATTGTCAAAACCAAAATTCTGACTTAAGGATAATTACCAATCAACATTAAAAATTTTTGTCAACTCTTATTTATCTAGTTAGCTTAGTAAAATAGTACCAATATAAAAGACATAATAAAAACATTAAAATTATTTTCTCATGTTTCTATATATATGAATACTAGTGAACAATATCCTCTAGAATAAAGTTTAAAGAATTATCACTAATACAATTTATTATTTTACTTCCTCATGATCTGCAAACTGAATCTTGAAGTAAAAAATCTAGTTCATTCAGTCAAGCTGACTGATTCAATTAAATACAACTTCAAGCCTTTTAAATCAGTTATTAAAAAGAAATTAGAGGGCTGGGGATTTAGCTCAGTGGTTCCAGCACCTGCCTTGCAAGCACAAGGACCCAAGTTCAATCCCTTGTACAAAAAAAAAAAAAAGAAAAGAAAAGAAAAAGAAAAAGAAATTCCACATTCCACTGGGTATGTACCATAGTTATTTACCTAAACTTTTCTTTGAATTATTTGGTAATTGGGGAGTTTTGTTTTTTGCCTTTTTTTTTTTTTTTTTTGGTACCGGCGATTGAACTCGGGTCTGCATTTGCAAGGCAGGCCACTGAACCACTGAGCTAAATCCCCAGCCCTATGTTTTTTGCTCTTTACTAAAAGATCTAATAAGTCACTGCTTCTTGGCCTTTCCATTAAGATCAAGTGAATATCTAATAAGTCAGATTTTTTTTTTTTGTACCAGAAATTGAACTCAGGACCTTGCGTTTATGAGGCAGTCCCTATGCCACTGAGCTAAATCTCCGGCTCTAACAGATCAGATTAAAATATCATAGAAAGTGTTAGGTTTTTTATATTTGCAATGACATGGATAAATATTAGGATGGTCATGAAATCTCTCTACAGTCTATGATCCAAACTATCTTTACAAGATTTTAGGAGAAAAAAAATACCAAGCTAGATTACATAATAGCATGTCAGAAAAAAAAATTTTTATTAAGATTTTAAAATGTAGGGTCAGGGATATAGCTCAGTGGTTCGGTGGCCTGCCTTGCAAGTGCAAGGACCCGAGTTCAATCCCCGGTACAAAAAAAAAAAAAAGAGATTTTAAAATGTAACATACTAGAAAACAAAATTACATTTGTCCATTTGTAAAATACAGTTTTTACCTTTTGGTTCCTGCACAATCAGGTGTGTACATTCATTCATTTTCAACTGTCCCATGTACTGGCCTCCATGCTTAACTGTGAGCTGCTGAACTGCCTTCCTGTCCAAGGCACACAAACCAGTCACACAGATTACACAGCCAAGAAAAACAGGACATCTGAAATCTTCCATGTTTATATCGGTATATTTAGTTATTTTGCTGGAAAAACAAATGATAAAAAGAAATAAAAATGAACACATTAAACATATCAGATAGTTTAAAATTTACTAAAAGCATAATGACACACAGAAATATCATTACCACTTTCCTCATTTTCCCCTCAAGTCCTAGTGACTGAATCCACAGCTCTCCCACTGAGCTACAACCTCAGCCCTGCCTCGCCCCCTTCCCCTTTGAGACAGGGTCTCAGTCACTAAGCTGGCAGAGCTGGCACTCAACTCAAAATTCTCCTGCCTGTTTGCCAAAGTGCTGGGATCGATCACAGGCATGAGCCACCATGCACAATTTCCTCATTTTTAAAAGATTTATAAAAATTTTTAAGAAAAGGGAACTATCACTCAGGATTATACTCACCAAGTTCAACATCATGTCTCTAATAAAAAGTAGTATTTCAACTACTATCTTTCAAGTAAAGATGGTCCAAGGGAAAAACACTATCTCGTTAACTTTAAGCCCTTGCTGGTTAAAGAGGTACATCTTTCAAATATATAAGCCTATATCTCTATTTTAAAACCCTAAGGTTTTTTGGTTGTCTACTAAAAATAAGAGTTTTAAATTCTTTCATTAATCTATAAGCAAAAGCAATGACTTTTGGCAGGATATCAATAAAATATCATCATTCTGTTGCTGTGCTATACAGATATGCTGATTATGCAATCAGTCTGGGAACATAATGTTGATATGGAGACATACTGAAGAGATGCAGAATTCTACTGAAAACAAGCCCAGAAAAGTGCTCATAGAATTTTCAAGCCATTATGATTCCTTGCTACCTAGATTTTTAGCTGTCAATTAACTTTCAGGAAAAACTTCAGTGTGCCCCTTGAGAAAGGCTCCAAGCTCCACGAGGGAAGGAACACTATCTTGTTCGCTCCCTACATACAGCTAATGCAAAGCTCAGGCCAGAGGTGAAACAGGCAAAATTTACATGATTGATCACAGCTCAGCTTACAGCTTACATGTTTATATTCAATCTTATATATGCCCCCTTTGCAGGGAATGACTGCCAAAATGGCTAATTTATTCTCCGTCTTAATATATGGGCAAGGTATTGAAGGATAATGTAACATAAGAACTACAGTGCTGAAAAAATGATTTTCTCAGTGATTTCAGAAACACTGCTCAGAACAACTTTATCATCAAAGCATTTATCTTCCGGCCATAGCCTATTCTACCTGTCAACTTACACCCTGCTAATAAGCACTTGTAGATTCTGTTCTGCTTTTTTTTTCCTTTCTTCTTTTTTCCTGGAGAAAGAATGACCCTATTTTTGTCTCTGAATAACAAATCCAAAGAAAATACCATAAAAGTTAATCTAGGAAAACTCGGATTATGTCAAAATAATAGATTGCATCATTTTTTCAAATCTATAAACATAAGAGAAAGGGGAGGGGAAGGGGACATAAAAAGAACTGAAGAGGTGTTATATACATGTACTAACTCTCCGCAATGACTGTAATCATTTTGTACTGCAAGCATGTATTAATAAAAAAACAAATCTATAAATATGAGGGTCTGTCTTACTTCTCTTGTGACTTCTCCCAAAGTGTTTGTATCCAAGAAGAGAGCAAAATAGGTTTCTTCAGATTTGCAGCAACTAAGTATTTTTTGCTACCAACTTCTCCTGCAACAAGGTGAGTTACTGATACATTAAGATCTCTGAATACTCGTCCACCCATCATTTGTACATACTTATGAACTTCTTCCTGCAGCCCCAAAAGAAAATATATTAATACCAAAGCAAACAATCTTTTCTATTTTTATACAATATTCCATACTATGTTGATAACATAAATATACAAATATTTCACACTACTATAAAGTTAATTAACCAAACTACTTTTGGAAAATGAATATGAATTATAAATTTAAGAATAACTATTTTCCTAGCCATAGTGTGTTTCAGTGCACAGACAAAACAAACAACAGCTTGGTCCCTATGAGATTATACTGCTTAATGACATCATTGCCATATAAATTTGTGCGAGAACACTCAATGATATAATCATCTAGCAACACTTCTCTTAGACCATATCACCACTATTAAGTGACAAGTGACTATATTTCTTTTCTTGCAACTCCGTGAATTTATTGAACTATTTTGGTCCTATAATAAAGATTATACTTTTACATAGCATGTATTTTAAAAAATATAAATTATACCTGTATAATACAATAAAATATATTTTTATACTATTTTGAAACCTTCCCCATTCCCCCTTTGAGACAGCATCTCACTATGTAATTCAGGCTGGCCTTGGATTCGCAATGATGCTCTTGTCTCAGTCTCCCAAGCGCTAGAATTACCGACATGTCCCACCTTGGAATTCCTGGAATTCCTTTTTAAAGATTATCCATCTATGATGGGAAAATGTAATTAAAAAAAGCAATCTCTGAGTGTAGGAGAAAAAGTGAGTTTCCTTTTAAATCAAAAAAAAAACTTCAATTATCCAATTTTCAGCAAAATGGACTGTATTCAATTGATTTACAAAAAGATATACACTGTTGATTGTTGCATACTACATTTCATTAAGTCATGAATACAAATACCAAGTGAACAGTCTTTTTTGTTTGTTTGTTTGTGGTACCGGGGATCAAACTCAGTACCTCACACTTGCCAGTAGTCTTTTAAATTATTTCTTATGCAGTGAAAAATTAAGTGTGGAGATAAACAGATATACAGTAATATTCAATACTTACCCTCTTCTCTTTATCCAGGCTTGTACAAGATACAGTTACATTAGACATAACCATATTATAAACTGGATGTTCAGCTCTTGGGACACATTGCTGGTAATGCATACAAAATAAGACTACTTGGGGACCAACAATTCTGCAGCTGAGCTACAAAAAAAAATTTTTTTAGTACATTAAGATGGAAAAGACTACCAATCTTACAGAATTACATTTGGTAATTTTTATAATTATTTACAGAAGTTACTCACTATGGCAGAAAAATCACCAAATTGTTAGAAGAAAATAAAAAGACCATTAATTTCTCACAGTAAATAAACATGCACACAAAAAAGCAAATTAAACTTAACTGTCAAAAGAAGTAACTTCTGAGAGCCCCTCACTCAAAACTAGTATCAAAATTTTAATCTCTGAAACAAACACAACAGTAATGCAATAATCTTACGCTACAAGTAGGAAGCACCTATGCATACTTTTCAAATGAAGTACTCAAGCAATGAGGCAGTTTAAAAGAATAAAAGCCTATAGTAAGTCCTTCTAAAAAACCTGTTACCAAAAGCTGTATAATCCAAGGCAGTTTCTACATTTGGGTTTCAAGTACTTTATACCTCCCTGTCTTTCTAAAGAAGACCAGCAGAGATGTCTAAGATAAAAAAATGAAACAATGACTTTTCATTTTCACTGATATTAAGTGAAGAAAGGTGACATTCAACATGAGCATGCTCAAGCCAAACTAAAAAGCCCCAGTTGCCAAAATCATCACTACACAACGGATCTAAATATCTACAAGAAAAAGACTACTACTATCTTTTCGTCAGTCATAAATAACACAATGAGTTTTTGATGCTACTGACTCTGACAAGGAGTTGTATTTCAAAGAGGAGGCTTACACCAATAATGCTCTTGGCAGCATGGGCACAGACTTTCCATAAATTGTATAGATACTGCATCTACCTACTCGGCTATGTTTTCTTCTCCTTCAAACAAGAACCACTTCTCTGTAATCTGGATGGAATTATAGCCAGTTAATTTTTATTTCAATGCTTCTCTCTTGTCCAGACACCAAAAAGTGAGTCAGTAGACTCTAGAATCAACAAAAAGAAATAAGATGGCTCATTGGTATAAAAATGCTTCCTTCTAAGATGATTTTCAGACAAGATACAAGGTAAAAAAAACACTAAAATTGGTGTATAAAAGCACACAGAAAGTAAGTTAATAAGAACTATGTTGCACTGCGCTATTATTTCTCACTGATGTATGTTACGATCTGAGTTTTAAGTACAATAAACTCCATCACTGAACTGCTTAATTACAAGATTCACTTATACTAAATGGAGCCATAGTCCTTGAAATAATAAAAGCCTACTATACAAGATAAGTTTTCAGAAAATATTATTGCAATCTCCCCAAACCAAAAGAATCCCAGTGCATGCAGAATTTGCATACTTAGTGATCAGTGAAAACCAAAAAAGCACAGTCTACCAAAGAAATATCTGGAAGTTAGCAAACCTTTTTAAGGTGATCAAAGACAGCACCACTAAAAGGGTCACAGATATAAAGAGATTTATCATTCTCCTTTATTTTCAATGCTTCTTCTTCTGTAATAATCTGAAGATATTCTTTTGATTGGAATTCTTTCATTGACTGAAAGTAAAAATGAAATAATATACTTGAAATTAGTCTTCCAAATTTAAGTCCTATCACCTCTTCAATACACATCTTAAAATCCTTTTCCCTATTGAAAGCAAATATAACCTCTCACCTACACCACTGTAGAAGCCTCCCAAGTGGTCTACTTCTCCCTGCCTTGCCCTAAATCTATTCTCCACACAGCACTTTAACCTTTTACCCACCACCACCCCTTGAAAAACAAAACCAAAAAAATCAGATCATGTTAATTCTCTGCTCAAAACTCTCTAATGACAGCTGGGCACAATGGTTCATGCCTGTAATCCTGGACTGGAGGCTGAAGCAGAATTGTAAAGGTAAAGCCAGCAGGGCAATTTAGCAACCTGGTGAGACCCTGTCTCAAAAATAAAAATAAAAAAAGGCTAAGGATACCAGGGTAAATTAGCTCAGTGGTACTGCCACCTGCCTCACAAGTGCAAGGTCCCGAGGGGTGGGGGTGGGAGGACTGAGGATGTAGCTCAGAGAAAGCCCTGGGTTCAATTTCCAGTAATGGAGGGAAAAAACCCAGACAACTTCCCCTCACACTCAAAATTCACATTTTTTATCATGGTCCAAAAGACCACATGATCTGGCCCTTACCTGTCTCCCCACACTTACCAGGGTTTATCTCTAGCCACACCCACTCACTGGCATAAAGTGCAACAAAGGAAACATGACCTCATTTAGAGGCTTTGCTCTTTTTCTTGCAGCAGGGAACTTTCTTCTTCCAGGTCTTCAACTGATGTAATCCTTCACTTCTAGCAGGTCTTGCTTAAGTATCACCTCCTTGCAGATGGCTGTCCCTAATCATGATTTACTATCTTTCTTTTTGGTGGGGGGGGTACTGGGTATCAAACTTGGGTCCTTGCACTTGCTAGGCAGGAGAACCACTGAGCTAAATCCCCAGACCCTAATTAATGTTTTTTTTGTTTTGGGGTTTTTTTTTTTTGTTTGTTGGTTGGTAGCAGGAATAGAACTCGGGTCTACTGCACTTGAGAGGCAGGCGATAGAACCACTGAGCTAAATCCCAGGCCCTCTTTTTTCATTTTTAAAGCAGTAGTGTTAGGTATTAAACAAACCCAGGACCTCGTGTATGCTACCCAAGCACTCTACCACTGAGATATACCCCATCCCCTGATCAAACTGATCATGTTCTTAAAACCCTCATCACTTAAGCCTAAGAAGAAAAAATAGCACTAATATTTTATAAGTATATATATATTTTTGCCTCTCCCCTATAAGAATGAAAAGTTCATGATGTGTCTTGTTTGTTATCATATCCTGACACCCAGTAAGCACTTAAATAGTGTCTGAACAAATTTAAATTCTATGTTAGAAAACAAAACAAACTTATGGTGGTCTTTTAAAACTAGATATATTGTTCTTCTGATTAAAACTCTCTAGAGGCTCTCCAATGAAGGAAAACTTCAGTCTTCACAATGGCTCACAAGACCCTATATGACTTTTTTTTTTTGAGGTACTGAGATTAAAACCAGGGCCTTGTCATTGAATTAAATCCCCAGTCCCCTTTTCAATTTCATTTTTTAAAATTTTAAAACAGGATCTTAAAAAATTAAATTCCCTGGGCTGGGCTTCTTAATCCTACTACTTCAGACTCCCAGAGTGCTGGGATTGTAGGCATGCCCTACCATGCCTAAGTCTTATATGACTTTATTTTTATTTTCTGGAGCATTCTCTGCTTCTCTTCCTTCATCCCTTGCTGACTACAGCCACCAGAATATTGGATATACACAACAAGCACGTTCACAAGGCCCTGGACATGGTTGCGTCCTCTGCCTGAAACTCTCTTCCACATACCCACAGGACTATCTCACTCAAGTTTACTGAAATATCTTCACAAAGGCTAACCTGATTATATTTTACTTAATAAATTTATAACCTTCCTGTTTCCTTCTCCAATAAACATTCTCTGGAGCCCCTTAAATTTTGCTTTTTCTCTTCTCATAGCACTTAGCATATAATAACACACTATATACTTTTCTCATTTATCATCTGATTAATATCTATTTCCTGCTGCTGCCAGAATGTGAGCTCTGAGAGAGGAGAAATCTTTGGGGCTCTGGCTGCAGATGTATCCCAAGTATTATAGTGGGACCTATCAGATCATGGACACTCAATAAATACTTGCTGAATGAATGAACTTGAAGGAAAAAAACCTGTGTAACTGTTTCTCAAACGTCAATAGGTATTAGGAATTTCATTTAAAATGCAGATTCTAACTGTCAAGTCTGGGTTGGGGCCCAAGATTTCTAACAAACTCCTAGGCCATACTGATGCTGCTAGGTGCTGTAAGAAGCAAACCTTTAATACTCCTCATCCTGTCACTCTGCATAATAAAACATACTTTTAACAAAAACCAATACAGGACCAACCCAAAACTTTTCAGCACACAAAGTACCAATCTAGTAAGTATAAAAAGAAAACCATTTTCAAGAACTGCAGATCAACTATATTCAACCAAAATGTCAAAATAGATTTCAAGCACCTCCAAATACATGACATACTCATATCAAATTATGTAACGATATACCTATATTAACAGATTACAGCAAAATCATATGAAAGATTTCTATTATTAAGACGTAAAGTCCAACATATCAAAAATACTTAATGACATCAAACAAGACAAGTTCAACTATTCTTACCTCAAGAGCTTTAAAAAAACATTCTGAATTGTTTGAACACTTTAAAAACTTCACAAGTAACGGTTCTTGGCCATTTGGGGACATTGTTGAACTGCCAAAATAAAGGTACCATTAACAAGAACAAAAATACATTATGTAGGAAGTTAAACGTTTAATGCACCTACTTTCCCGTGTAGACCAGAATGCCTAAGGATAGACATTCTGGCCTTGCCCGTGAATTCATCCGTGACATTTGCAAGAAACCCTAGAACGTCGGCAAAGTCAAGGAGAAAGAAGACAACACTAATCCTTGCAAAACTAATGTTCTAAACTGAATACATTCAGGGCTCTTGCTACTGGCCCCTTAGGCAAAGGTCATTCTATTGAACTAGGCTTAAGAATACTCAGAGCCCATTTGTGGCTGCTGGTATCCACGGCCCGCGAGGTTTGTTCATCCCTAACAGATTTTAAATATATACGCAGCAGCCCTCCCCAAAAATTAGATGCTCCAGTTCCCCAAAACCGAAAGAAAGGCCTAGCTCACGGAACACAGAAGCCGCGTTCTCTCGGATATCAAAGGCCCACCCACCAGGCCCGCGGAGGACCGGTTACCCCGACACGAAGCTAGGGCCTGGAAGGCCTGAGGAAGCGTCGCGATCCCCCAGAAGCGACAAACGGGACGCTGGGTCCTTACTCGCCTCGATGGATCCTGTAGGTCTCTAGGC